CCACTGTAGGTCATAAGCTATCTGCTTGCAAAATTTCATGCAAATCCATTTAGTCGTTTCCGCGTATTAATTTAATGAAACTTTTTTAACAGGTGGCAACTCTTAAGAAAAGTAGCCTATTTTCCAATCTAGGTCATAAGCTATCTGTGTGCAAATTTTCATGCAAATCCATTCAGTCGTTCCCGCATATTAAATAAATGAAACTTTTTTAACAGGTGGCAACTCTTAAAAAATTAGCCTATTAACCAATCTGGCCCATAGGCTATCTGCGTACAAAATTTCATGCAAATCCGTGTAGTCGTTTCCGCGTGATGATTTCCCAAACATCCAAACATACAAACTTTCACATTTATAATATTTATAAGATAAGATAAGATAAGATAAGATAAGATGTATTTGTATATGTATGCTTGCGTACGTACATAAGTAAAGCAAATAAATACTGAATGCTTAAATATGTAAGTGACAAAGCGTAAGTATATAATTAACAAAAGCATGATTGTGTAATTAGTAAAAGCGTAAATATGTATGCACAGAAGTTTGAAAATACTTACATATGTCTGTAAGTGACTTGTGCTAGGGTTGAATTCGAAGCGGCTGATGAACATCCATATGTATGAGCGTAAGTACTTTGAGCAGGCACAGTGTTATGCATCTGACCAAACATGCTCCCCCATTGAAAAATCTGCGTTTCAATCACTGCGCGACGTATGATGCCTTTCGTGGTTTTGATGTCCACTACTCGCAAGTTGCCATCTGAACCAGGAACTGTGTTCACAATTCTACCAAGAATCCAATGCTGCGGGGGCAAGTTCTCCTCGTGAATGATGACCATTTGTCCTACTTCTATATTGGCTTCTAGTTTTAACCACTTTGAACGTTGTTGTAGACTGCGTAGTCACGCGACCAGAGTTCCCAAAAGCGTTATTTTAAGTGCGATACTCGCTGCGACTATTACTTTGTTTATACCGACACATAAAGCGCGTTGACCCAGTTCGCTGTGATTCAAAACGGATACATTAACTAAATTTCAAAACATGTTGAAGTTGAAAAGTGTTTTGACTTCAATTTGTTTTCAAATCGGTTTTTTGTTTCTCACATCAGTTAGAAAACAAGTATAAACGCATCACTCATTTGACGTGAAGTGAAAATAGGCTGGTTTTCTTTATACAGCCCGTTTTAAATTCGAATTATTGTTATAATAAATTACAATTATTGTTTGTTTCCATTTCGGTCAACCGCGCAGATTATTTATTAAAATAAATGTCGTATTAAAATAACAGATTTTGTCTTCTTTTGAATACGATTTTATCGAGTGCACTATAAAGACAGGGATATAAATTTTGTAAAGAAATATATGTTGAGTCCAATCGGTTTTTTGCTGTTTGCGGTTCTTGTGTAGGTATACACAAGGTACATGTTAGGGGGGACGTGGTGTTGAAATCAATGTTCTTATCTGGGATCGATAGCAAGGATGTGCCAATCAACAGATGTCCTGGTGTCAATGCTTCTCCATCATTAGGATCGGTAGATAGTGGAGTTAACGGTCGAGAATTCAGGATAGCTTTCACTTCTACGATGACGGTCTTCAACTCTTCGTAGGTTAGGTGAGCCTTGGAAATATTTTTTATGAGAATCGTTTTTATCGACTTCACGGCTGCCTCCCATATACCACCGAAATGTGGGGCGCGTGGTGGAATGAAGCCAAATTCGAAACCAGTGATGTTGCTGTAGCTGGACATGTCATCGACTGCTGCTTTGTTGAAAAACTGATGCTGCAGCTCCTTCAGTTTGGCCTGAGCTCCAATGAAATTGGTAGCGTTATCACAGTAAATGAGTTGAGGAATGCCACGCCGATCTATAAAACGTTTCATGCAAAGTAAAAAATTATTTGTAGATAAATCGGATACGACCTCAGCATGTATTGCTTTCGATGCTAAGCAGATAAAAATTGCTATATAAGCTTTGTAGGGCGATTTTCCTCGAAGGCGATAAGTTGTAGCGAAAATACCGCAAAAATCCACTCCGCTAATAAGAAAAGGTTTTCGAACTTGTACACGATCGGCAGGGGAATCTGCCATTATTTGGTTCATAAGCCTTTACTTATAATGGAAGCAATGGATACAGTTTCGCACAGTTTTCTTTACAATTTATCTTGCGTTTATTACCCACATCTTTTCGCGCAATAAACTTTGGGCCGGCGTGGAAATTTTTTCGGTGAAGGTAGTCCACGAAAAGTTGAGTGAATCGATGTTCCTTTGGGAGTAGAGCGGGGAATTTTGCGTCAAAAGGTATTGGTGCCTTCGATAGACGACCGCCAACTCTGAGAATAGAAGTTGCGAGATCGCCAAATTTCATTTCATGCAAGAAAGGGGTTAGTTTTTGTAAGAACGATTTCACCTGCTTCTGTTTTCGAATGCACTCAATCTCATCTGCGAACTCGATTTGTTGAATTAGTGAAATAAGTCTCCAGATGGTCCGCTCCAATTGTGTATGTGGCGCATGTAGTATCATTGAATCACTGAGGTATGTATTAACAGGAACCTTGTTGAAAACGCGAAGGACGTACGATGCTGTGCGAAGCAGCCGATAATGCGATGAACTACGGTTGATAATTGATCTGATGATGGCTCCATCGGTGCTACTATTACTACACTTGAAATACACAGCTTTGCGACGTTCCAGATCTTGATGGGTGACGTTAGCTGCCTTTTAAGTCACAGGCCATTCTGCAGACTGTTTAGACAAAAATATGGGTCCTGTAAACCAAATTGTATCCAAAAGATTGATGGCGCTCGACCCAAAATATGTTAGCTGGATTCTTCTTAGTCGGAACGTGTTTCCAAATTATTCCGGCAGAATTTTCCTGGAGCTCTGATACTCTATTTGCCACAAACCAATTTAGTGCTGACGAGTTAGTTGGAATCCATTGAAGAACTATCTCTGAATCTGTCCAAAAGCAATCTTGAGAAGAATATTTAATTATGTTATGTTGAATTTTTCGGCAAGTTCGACTTAGCAAAAACGCTGCATACAGTTCCAGTCGCGGAAGCGATTGTGCCTTAATAGGTGCTACCTTTGATTTGGCAATGATGAGCATTGTTTTGTTTGTTCAACTGTCGCGGAGAGTAGACGTGTTCTGAGTGTGTGTGGGGTGCGCGCATTGAAACCATTCCGTTTACATCAAACTTAAATTTAACCAAGACATATTCAACAAGTTTTATTATGAACTGTGTAATTTGCGCACAAAAAGTTGACCGTGCTGACAGTGGCAAAGTCACTTGTACTGACTGCAGGCACATATTTCATTTTGCGTGTGTCAAACTAAAGCAATCCGACGTCGAGTATATGAAAGGTATATATATAGCAATGTAAAGTATCGACGCGATAAATGCAATGGTGTTCGCCGAAAGTCTATGCTTATACAGCCGGTGCCGGCTTCAGACGATCACTCTTCATCTGCAACACCTGTGAATTTTCAGCTGCCCACTAGCATTTCTCCGCGGGAAGGTGATTTGATTTCGCCAGGTATGAAGCCGTCAACGCTACAAAACCAACAGCAAGCAATGCAAGGTATACCTGATGGACAAGGGAGTGCACTACATAGGCAGCAACACACAAAAAACGGCTAGCGCAAATAACAAAAATCATCAAAACAACGACCCGTGCTTTCGATATACTGCATCAAAGCAAGAAAACAAAGTTACGGGTCAACCACCTTCTGAGCAAACAATGTGAATAATGTGAATAAGACAATAACTCTTCAGCACCTTTATGAAGAGATTCTAAGTCTGAAACGGATTAACACCGATATGCTTAAATCAGTGAGCGTGCTATCTGAAGAGAACAAGACTTTAGAAGAGAAAGTAGTAAAGCTGGAGAGTAAAATACATTGGAGAGAGCAAAAAGAACATGAGAACGTGATCGAAATAACTGGCGTACCACAGCAAAACA